CGTGCCTGGTGGCCCTCTCCTGCTGATGCTCTGTTCAGAATGCCCAAGGGCAGGATTCTCCCTGCTCTGGGGGTGGTTTCCTTCCTGTTGGATACTGAGAGGTGTTGTCTGTGGCAGATATTGATGAGTGCAGTGAGATCCCTGCCATCTGCACCAACGGGGTCTGCATCAACCAGATCGGCAGCTTCAGGTGTGAGTGTCCCATTGGCTTCAGCTACAACAACATCCTGCTCATCTGTGAAGGTAACAGTGCTGGGGCACCCAGGGAGGTAGGTGGGGAGTTCTAGCATCTCCTCACCTCATGGGACTCAGGGTGAAGGCTGTCAGCACCCATGGACAGAGTCTACATGGTCTAACATGGAGGTGTCCTGTGCAGGACCAGGACTGGATGATCTATGTGGGTTCCTTCCAACTTGGGATATTCTATGATTCTGTTTTTCCCAACCTTCTTGAGATCTTCATTTTCCACAGCAATGGTTGGATATACCAATTGCTGATTTACAGTCATGTTCCTGTCTGGTTTTCCCTTGGATTTAGGGGGGTTTAGAAGAAATTTGCAAATAGAAGTGTTTGAGCCCTAACTAAAATCCAAACTAAAACCAAAGTGCAAGTGTTGAGCCATAAATTCAAACTAAAACTAGTGTTGAGCCCTAACTGAAATTCAAACTAAAACTAAACAAAACTCCAAGTGTTGAGCCATAAACTAAAACTAAACTCAACTCCAAGTCTTGAGGCCTATACTGATTCAAACTAAAACTAAACTAAACTCAAAGTATTGAGCCATAACTAAAAGTAAAACTAAACTCCAAGTGTTGAGCCATAACTAAAATCCAAACTAAACTCAATGCAAAGTGTTAAGCCATAACTAAAACTCAAACCTAAAAGTGTTGAACCCTAACTAAAATCCAAACTAAGATTTCACACTAAAACTACACTAAAGTGTTGAATCATAACTAAAATCAAGCTAAAACTAAACAAAACTCCAAGTGTTGAGCCATAAACTAAAACTAAACTCCAAGTGTTGAGCCCTAACTAAAATCCAAACTAAACTCAATGCAAAGTGTTAAGCCATAACTAAAACTCAAACCTAAAAGTGTTGAACCCTAACTAAAATCCAAACTAAGACCAAACTCAGTGTTGAACCCTAAGTTTCCCACTGTCTCATCCCAAAGCAACCCAACCCAGTTGAACATTGACCCCAACTGGAACAACCCAAGCGTTAAAGTTGGCTTGACTTCTCCTGAGCTCCTCCAGCCCTCCCAGAATGATGTTTCCTGGTTGAAACCATGGTGTCCATGCTCTCCTCCCCCAGACATCGACGAGTGCAGCAGTGGGGAGAACCTGTGCCAGCGCAACGCCGACTGCATCAACATCCCAGGCAGTTACAGGTGCGAATGCTCCACTGGATACAAGCTGTCGCCCAGCGGAGCCTGCGTGGGTAAGAGGGGAGCTCTTTGCTACCTATTGAGGGGAGTCAGTGACCAGCAGCAAGTTTGCAGATGATACAAAGTTGGGGGAGCAGTGTGGATCTGCTGGAAGGCAGGAGGGATCTGCAGAGGGACCTGGAGAGGCTGGAGAGATGATGGGCTGATCCCAACGGGATGAGGTCGAACAAGGCCAAGTGCTGGACCTGCACT